GAAAGTAAAAAAAAAACAAAACCTTTTTTTTCAAAATTTTTGGAGTTTTTTCATTTATATCGAAAAAATAAAAAACCCAGTGGTGATCAAGTACCACAAAAAGCATTACATGACCCTGCAATAGCCAGGTGAAGTAGTGCAGTGTCGAATAGCAAAAAAATGTCCTGGTCATGAAAGGGGTAAAATCTTCCAGAGCTGAAGTGGTTAAAGTGGTTCTTTGGTTTCTCCACCAGCACTGGCATACTGACTCTGGGTGGATGGCTGTGACAGTTTGTGGCTGCTCACTGAGCATGCTCAAGCCACGTTATCTGATTGGGACTGTGACATGTTCCAGAAGTCTGTGAGGAGAGGAGGGGAGCCTAACATCTGCTCAGTTGGCTGCAGCAAAAACGTACCTGCTCACCCCTCCCCTCAAAGAAAATGATGTGCCAAATCTGAATTAAGGGAGGAGGAAGAATAGCGGAACTTCCCCTTTGGGGTCAAATTCTTCTTTAACACCCCAATCACACTGGAAAAATGGCATGCCAAGTCGCACCCTATTGTCCACAGTTAGAGCGGTCATATCGGTGCGGTTCCGACTTGGCTGCTTTTGGTGCGATTTGCATAGACATCTGTGTCAGATGTCTTGCAAATTGCACCTGAAATCGGCAAGTCATCGACTTTGAAATCATACAACTTCACTGTAAGTCGCACGATTTCAAAGTCGGGTTTGATGTGAACGGGGTGTAAACACCTTCACTGCAGCTCCTTTTGAGAGGTCTGGAAGGACCTCCAACTGATTAACCGCTTGCCACCCTGCCACTGTATATATACGTGTGCAGGGCGGCACTCAGGCGCAAAACCACAATTTAAAACGGGTTCCGCGTTCTCGCCGGCAGGGGGCGTGCGCGCGCTCCCGCCGACCCGCGGGTGACACGATTTGATCCCGAAGGGATCAATCATTCGATTTCAGCCAGTGATGTCTGGCTGAAATCAGATGATCGGTCCCTGTCCTATCCTGTCCTGTGTTGAAGTTTACACAGGACAGGATATGCTGTCATTCTTCTCTGCCTGGACACATTCCGTTCCAGACAGAGAAGAAGACACATTAAAAGTGAGTACAAAGCACTACACTAACAGAACACACCTAGGTCACATTTAACCCCTTGATCGCCCCCCCCCCCAGTTAACCCTTTCACTGCCCTGTCACCAGTGTCACTGATCAGTGAACCGATTTTTACTGATCACTGTATCAGTGTCGCTGGCAACTTCCGATAGTGTTAGTGCCCCTCCCAGATAGCGCCAGATTGCCCGCCAGTACACCAGTAATCCCATTTAACCCCTTGATCGCCCCCCCCAGTTAACCCCTTCACTGCCCTGTCACCAGTGTCACTGATCAGTGAACCAATTTTTACTGATCACTGTATCAGTGTCGCTGGCGACTTCCGATAGTGTTAGCGCCCCTCCCAGATAGCGCCAGATTGCCCGCTAGTACACCAGTAATCCCATTTAACCCCTTAATCTCTCCCCCCCCGTTAACCCCTTCACTGCCCTGTCACCAGTGTCATTGATTACAGTGAATAGATTTTTACTGATCACTGTATAAGTGTCACTGGTGACTTCCGATAGTGTTAGCGCCCCTCCCAGATAGCGCCAGTTTGCCCGCTAATGCACGGGATTTTTTTTACCAAAAACATGTAGCAGAATACATTTTGGCTTAAATTTATGACTAACTTTGAGTTTACGATATATTTTTTATAGCTGAAAGTAGAAAAATATTGTTTTTTTTCAAAATTTTTGTGTTTTTTTTGTTTATAGCGCAAAAAATAAAAAGCGCACAGGTGATAAAATACCACCAAAAGAAAGCTCTATTTGTGTGAAAAAAAGGACGTAAATTTCGTTTGGGTACAGCATTGCATGACCGCGCAATTATCATTTGAATTAGTGCAGCGCTAAACAGCAAAAAAAAGGCCTGGTCATTAAGGGGGGTAAATCCTCAGGTGCTCAAGTGGTTAAACATAGTTCAGTGCTCACAGTTCATATGTGAATGGCGTGGATTTTTTGCTAAACATGTAATGTTTGCTGTTATGATGGAATACTTTTGTAATTTTTAACCCAATAAAGCTTTGACTTTGTTCATTCCAAGATAATCAAAATCTTTATTTGGCAAGATGCCAAAATAAAGCTGGCGATTGCATTTAAAAACAATGTCGTTTTTTTTTAAATGTAATTACCAGCTTTTTTTTCCTTTTACTATAGCTGTCATTCTTGGGGGACTAAAGAAAACAAAGGGGTGGGGTCACCCAGTGACAATACCCAGTGACCCCGCCCTTTAGTTCCTGGGAAAGTGACCACTCATTCTCTGAGCTATAGTGAAGGAAAAAAATAGCCGGTAATTACATTTAAATACCAACACTGATATATAGTGACATCCAGTGAGGGAGCCTCTCTGTATACACTGCTCCTCTCCTGCCCCCAACTTGCACACTCTGCCCCCCCCCCCCCTCTCCTACCTATAAAGAGGACTTGTTACTTTTATGCTATCACATAGGGAACTATTGGTACCCTATGTTATAGCAATAAAACCATAAGTTAAAAAAAATAAAAATAGAAATAGAAAATAATTTGGAGCCTTCCCACCCCCACATACACAGATGTTTGGGTTTAGTTTTCGGCCACGTGCATTCTGAATTTTTGGTATTGGTTTCAGCACCAGAATTTTCATTTCAGTGCACCACTATACTAAATGTTAGGTTAGGACATCCCCTTAGCAGAAAAACACCCCCAAAGCAGAATGTTTCCACCACCATGTTTCACAGTTGGGATGGTGTTCTTGGGGTTATAGGCAACATTCCTCCTCCTCCAAACACGGCGAGTTGAGTTGATGCCAAAGAGCTCGATTTTGGTCTCATCTGACCACAACACTTTCAACCAGTCCTCCTCTGAAGTTTGCTACTGAATATCTGAATGATGCAGATGGGCCTGGACATGTGCTTTCTTGTGCAGAGGGATCTTTTGGTCACTGCAGGATTTCAATCCTTGTCGGCGTAGTGTGTTACCAATTGTTTTCTTGGTGACTGTGGTCCCAGCTGCCTGGAGATCATTGACAAGATCCTCCTGTGTAGTTCTGGGATGATTCCTCACTGTTCTCATGATCATTGACACTCCACAAGGTGAGATCTTGCATGGTGCACCAGACCTAGGGAGACTGACACTTGTTTTGTGTTTCTTCCATTTGTGAATGATTGCACCAACTGTTGTCACCTTCTCACCAAGCTGCTTGGCCATAGTTTGGTAGCCCAGTTCAGCCTTGTGTAGGTCTACAATCTTGTCCCTGACATCCTTGGACAGCTCTTTGGTCTTTGCCATGGTGGAGAGTTTGGAATCTGAATGTTTGATTGCTCCTGTGGACAGGTGTCTTTTATACAGGTAACAAAATGAGATTAGCAGCACTCCCTTTAAGAGACTGCTTCTAATCTCAGCTTGTTACCTGTATGAAAGACACCTGGTAGCCAGAAATCCTGCTGAATGATAGGGGATCAAAATACTTATTTCCCTCATGAACATACAAATCTGTGCATCATTTATTAGACATGCATTTCTGCTGAATTTTGTGTTGCTATTCTGTCTCTGTGTTACAATACACCTCCCATTCGATTTTTAGACTGATCATTTCTTTGTGAGTGGGCAAACATTCAAAATCAGCCGGGGATCAAATACTTATTTCCTTCACTGTAGATGAAAAAGGGAAGTACGGGAAGTAAAGAAAAATGAAATGGCTTTATATAAGGGTGGATAATAATCAATGATTTTTTTTAAAAATTAAAAAAAAAATACGATTTTTTTTTTTTATTTAAATCGGATTTTTTTTATTTAAATCGGATTGTTTTGATTTTATTCGGATTGTTTTGATTTTAATCGGATTGTTTTGATTTTAATCGCATTGTTTTGATTTTAATCGGATTGTTTTGATTTTAATCGGATTGTTTTGATTTTAATCGGATTGTTTTAAATAAAATGCTTTTTGAGGAAAATATATTACCATCCAAAGGTTATTCCATCATGAAATAAAGATTAGTTTTTTAATTATGTAGAATAAGGCTGTATATGTTTATTTTTTTTGGTAAATAAATTCCATGAATCCATTCACAATGTCATGCTCTTCCAGAGGTTTCTGTAAGATTATTGGGCAGTTTCTCTGCCTACAAGATATTATCACAGATGATTGGTTTACTTTTGCAGTTCTCAAAACTGAATTTGACTCAGCGGAGATCACATGCCTCTTCTTCACAGCAAAAATGTTATAACATGAACAGAGTTAAGAAAAAGACCTTCATCCTAACTTCTACAAACCTATGAATACAGAATCAACCCCTTCAGTGCTAAGTTTCAAGAAGTTCAGTGAATAGAATAGAAACAATATTTTTTCTGATTGTTTGGAGTAGAATAGATCTGCACAAGAAGAAAGTGAAACTAAGTGTGAGGAGGAAGGGGCTGACAGTCTAAGTTTCTTAAAATATATATATTTTGTTTAGCCAAATTAGTTACCAAACATGGATGTTTAAGCAAATACCATATGCTGGAATGTTATTGTTTCAGTTGAATAAATCTATTTAAATTGTTATTATTAAGGGAATGATTATTTTTCTCCTTCCTAAGTACAACAGAAAAGTTGTCCAAATATGAATGATTAACCTATTAAACTGGGGATAAAAAAACTAATATGAAAAGTTGTTATTCTAAAAGTCTTCATCTACTTGTATATTAAAGTTATACCAGCAAGAATTAGTCTTTATGTAGAAAACTAGGATTTACATCAAGCCTTACTGACTAGTGATTTAAATCAGGATTTAAATCAGTTTGATTTAAATCAAATCCACCCTGCTTTATATACACTTTAGTAACTTTCCTTTACTTGTACAATGCTGCATATATCTGTGTGTTTAATTTTTCAGCTTATGCAGAGGAATGCATTTTGGTTGCTAGTGATTCAGTTCTGTGGTCTTTTTTTTCTTTTGCAGGATATCCTTTCACAAATGCACCATTACAACTCTGGAGTTAAACATGGGGCTCTTATTGGTCTCCGAGAAATCCTTTCAACTCATCCTTCATTAATTGATACACACATTTCGAGTATAATGAGTGAAGTGACTGCTGTGTTCACCGACAAAGAGCCTATGGTTAGGTCGGCCACGATATCGGTCTTGCAGCATTTGGCACCCATGATTTCTCAAGAGAGGATAGCACCTTTTTTCCCTCTCGTAAGTGCTCACCTTTCCTCTGCTATGACTCACATAATGCCAGGGATTCAGGAAGACTCACTGAAGATCCTAGATATCCTTTTGGAAGAATATCCTGACTTACTTATCGATCGTAGTAGTATGTTGTTAAACAATTTCTTGGAACTTATTTCCCACCAAAAGAACTCTAAAGAAATAAAAAACACAGATAAGGCACCAGCCTGGACACTGTCTGTTAATCCCAATCGGAAGTTTACATCTCAGAAGTGGAGGATAAGTGTACTGGGTAGACTAAAAAAGTTTCTACAGGCATTAGTGAAACGAGCTGTGGAAAGATATCCTGACAAGGAGGAACTTCATGATGGCACTGAAAATGAGTTTACTGTGAAAGCAAATGTAGATATCTCTTGGCAAGAGCATGCAGCCGGTCAGCAACAAATCAGGTTGTTTTTGACTGCGTACAAACACAATTGAGTAAAAACTCCTCATTTCATCTGAGGTATGTATGTATTTATCAATATTTATTTGGTGTATATGCTTTAAAAAAAAAAAAGTTCTGCTATGAAAGTATTTTTGTTGACAAAAGTGGAGTGTTGGCACACTGGAGTCCTCCCACCTATCCTCTTGCACACCATTCCAGTACTGAAAGGAATGTGTAAGTTGTCATTGCTTACTTTTTCTTCTGAATGTATTAATACGGACATTCTGGATTAACCATTTCAATACCGGGCAATTGTACACCTTCCTGCCCAGGCCATTTTTCAGGTTTCAGCGCTTTCACATTTTGAATGACAATTGCGCGGTCATACAACATTGTACCCAAACTAAAATTTTATCATTTTCTTCACACAACTAGAGCTTTCTTTTGGTGGTATTTAATCAGCGCTGGGGTTTTTATTTTTTGCTAAATTAACAAAAAAAGACAAAATTTTAAAAAAAAAACACGTTTTTCTTTGTTTCTGTTCTAAAAGTTTGCAAATAAATAATTGTTCTTCATAAATTTAGGCCGAGATGTAGTCTGCTACATGTCTTTGGTGAAAAATAACCCAAATTAGGATGTATTATTTAGTTTGTAGGAAAGTTATAGAGTTCCCAAACTATGGTATAGATCTGAAAATTGATCAATCCTGAAGTACTGACAGCCAATCTAGTTTCTTGAATGTCAGAATAGTACAGATATCCCCCAAATGACCCCTTTTTGCAGAGTAGACAGTCCGACGTACTTCATAAGATGCATGGCGAGTTTTTTGAAGTTGTATTTTTTTTTTTGTCATAATTTTTCGTAAAATTAAAAAATTAAAAAATTATTTTCGCTATTTATTTTATTTTTTTTTTTTTTTTTACATACTGTCAGTGCAGTACAGCATCATATAACTGGCATGGCGGTGAACAGGGACACTGACTGGTGACAATATGGAAAAAAAAAAAAAAAAAAAAAAATATATATATATATATATATATATATATATATATATATATTTTATCTTTTTTTTAAATTTTTTAATTTTTATTACTTTTTTTTCATATTTTACTATGACCAAAGTAGTACAGTGTTACCGTAGTAACATTGTACTACTTTGGGGAAGTGATCAGTATTATTATATTTTTTTTTTTCTACACAATTTGCTTATAGCAAAGAATTACTTTGCTATAAGCAAGCATTTACCTGAATGACATCGATTCATTCAGGGTTTTTTTTTTTTTTTTTTTTTGTGCTGAGCTGCGATTTGGCCACAGCTAATCACATGACATGTGCATGTGATTAGCTGTGACCATTCACAGCTAGACACTAGTATACAATGGATAGCATGAATGAAGCCATCCATTGTATACAACTGTCATGTGACCTGCTGTGATTGGTCACAGCAGGTCACATGGTACTGGCAACGGGGGCCGGTACTCAGATCTGTCATCGGCCGTGTCCAAGGTACACGGCCGGTGATAGATCGCGCGGCTCTGCAACCGCACGAACTGCGCATGTGCGGGAGGACGCAAAATGGCGTACACCCTGGAAAGCTAATGCATTTTTGCGGCCGGCAAACCGCTATAGACCCGGGCGGCAAATGGTTAAGTACTGTCTAAATCAGTGTTTCTCAAGGTTCTTCAACCAGTATTCTGTGAGAAGCCACCAGGGGATCTGCTGCTGGCCAGATTGGGGTGCAGCTACAGCCAGCATTAAAGTGTTACTAAACCCACAACAGTACAATCAGTCTGTATATGCAGTACAGCATGCTTGTTATACTCACTGTGGAACCTAAGAGGTTAATTCTCTGCATTGTGTAAAAAGTCTGTTTGATCCTTTCTTCTCTGCCCCTCCTCTTGTTGAAATGACTACCTTATACAGACTGAACCCATGGTCATATGCACATGCTCAGTTTGGTGTGAGAATTTTTTTTTTCCTGGGAGGATGCATGTGATCAACACAGTCATCACTGTCCAGACAGAGGGTCAGAGGTTTCACATCCTCCTAGAGCAGAAAGAAAACTCCTCCTACAAGCTTTAACCAGTGCTCTGCTGAAGTCACAAGAATGCTCTAACTGCTGATGAACAAAGATATTTAGCAGTTTATATTTACTAAAATAATTGCATTTCCATGTTGTGTGTACTGTGGGAGACCAGTATAATGAATGCAGAGTCCTGGGTTTAGTAACACTTTAAAGTTAAACCCTGGGAATGCGACAAATATAACCCTTGCAGAAGGGCCCACCCACAGTACGTAATTTAGTTCCTCGCTCTGACTCTTCCAGAAGCTCTGGTATGTGGGTGGGGCATTGGCATCATCCCATTGCAGTGCAAGTCTATTAACCCTGCATTGTACGTGGGGGGTGCAAGCATACAACCGCAGCACAGATAGAGGGAGCCTGTAGCAAGGTAAATCTCCTTGCCTGTGCACCGCTAGACTAAATAAGCGTTTAGCACTTGCAGGTCGGAAGGGGGGGGGGGGGGGGGGGGCACTGCGAGAGCTATTTTTGTCACATTTCTGGAGTTCAGCTTTAACATAGAGGTGGGACCAAGTTTCGTAAGTTCTTAAAAGTGTTACTAAACCCAGAACCCTGTATTCGCTATATCTGGTCTCCCACAGTACACAGAACGTGGAAATGCAATTATTTTAGTAAATATAAACTTCTAAATGCCTTTTCTCATCCGAAATTAGATCAGTCTTGTGACTTCTATCAGTACCTCTGAAATATTACCTGTGCCATGCGCCACACTGAAAAGTAGTAGATAACTGAATGAATGGCTAATGACCTGGTGTAAGAGGGAAGGATTTGGGTTTCTAGAGCAATGGGCTGACTTCTCATTGGGGTGCAAACTATATGCTAGAGATGGTTTGTACCTAAATGGAAGGGGGTCTGCTGTGCTAGGGGAGAGGTTTATAGGATGGCTGGAGGAGTATTTAAACTAGGATTGAAGGGGGGGGGAGAATTAGATTTTATTGGGGCAGACATATCAGACAGGGGTCCTTATTGGTTGGTGGAATGGGGAAAGATGGGGGGGGAGCTATGGCTGGTGATAAGAGGGTTTCCATGTTACAAACAACCATTGAAATTGGTACCATTTGTACAAAAATAAAAAACCATGCAACATACACGTGCAAAAGGTGTGAGTGAATTTAAATGTTTGTTCACCAATGCCAGAAGTCTACCAAGCAAAATAGGTGAGTTGGAAGCTTTGGTGCATGGAGAGAACTAGGATTTAATTGGTATTCCTGAATCTTGGCTTCATTCTTCACGATTGGGCCATTACTATTCCTGGCTATGTTCTCTTTCGGAGAGATGGTAAATAGGAAAGGTGGTGGTGTCTGTCTCTATGTGAGAAGTAATCTCAGATCGAGTGTGAAAGAGGACCTAGTTGATGGAGAGTGTGGTGAGGCTGAAGCATGATGGGTGGAACTGCACATGGGGGCACGTTGGAGTTTATTGGCCACCCAGTGTTAATAAGGAGGTGGAGACTCAGCTCCTTTCACATATCAAAAGGGCTGCAATGGCTGGGACAGTGATAATAATGGGGGATTTTAACTACCCAGAAATTGACTGGAGTAATGCTACTGCAGGAACAGTTAAAGGGTAAACTTTTATACACCTACTAAAGTGTAATTTTATGGTACAGTTCATAGAGGCCCCAACTAGGAATGATGCTCTGCTGGACCTGGTAATCTCAAACCATGCAGAGCTTATTACTAATGTTCATATAAAAGAACATCTGGGTAGCAGTGACTATAACATGATTTCATTTATTGTTAGCTGTAAACAAGCACATACGGGAAAAATAAAAACGCTCAACTTTGGGAGAGCTAATTTTCCAAAGCTGAGAGCTGCTCTCCAAGACTTAGACTGGGAGGGAATATTGGCATTGATGAACACAACACAGAAATGGGAGTTCTTCAAAAAGACTGTATGTGAACACTCTGCAAAATATATTCCCATGGGCAACAAGTTTAAAAAGGCTAAAATTGAAACCTATGTGACTTATGGACAAAGTTAAAAAAGCTATAAATAATAAGAAAAGAGCTTTTCTAAAATATAAAAATGAAGGAACGCTATCATCGTTTTAAACATTACAAAATATATAACAGAATATGTAAAAAGGAAATCAAGGCTGCAAAAATTGAAAATGATCAATAGATTGCAAAAGATAGCAGGACAAACCCCCCAAAATTTCTTCAAATATATTAATAGCAAAAAGGTTCGGTCCGAGCATGTAGGCCCTTTACAAAATAATCTAGAGTGGGTGACTGGGGACAAAGAAGGCAAATTTATTAAATCCGTTCTTCAGCTCTGTGTATACAAAGGAGCATGGGGGGGGGGGCCTCTTGTCCATAATGGGTATGGTATTGACACAGCTTCAGATGATCCACATTGGCTCACAATTGATATGATCCAAAAATATTTAGACAGAATAAAGGTTAATAAAGCACCTGGAACGGATGGCATACACCCACAGGTCATTAAAGAATTGAGCTCTGTCATTTCAAAGCCATTGTTTCTAATTTTTAGGGACTCTTTAATGACTGGCATAGTACCACTGGATTGGTGTAAGGCCAATGTGGTGCCTACATTTAAAAAGGGGTCAAAGTCTTTACCAAGTAACTATAGACCTGTTAGTTTAATCTTTATATTTGGGAAGATACTGGAGAGTTTAATAAAAGACCACATAGATGAGTTCTTGCTGTAAAAAAAATATTTTAACCAACAGACAGCATGGATTCATTAAAGACAGAAGTTTTCAAACAAATCTTTTTTTTTTTTTTTTTTTTTTTTTTTTATGAGGGGGTGAACAAAACCTTGGACAGAGGGGATTTTGTAAAAGCATTTGACACAGTTCCCCCCCACACAGCTAATGTGTAAGGTAAAGTCTACAGACTTGAAAAACTCTGTATATAAATGGATAGAAAACTGGCTAAAAGACCGTATTCAGAGAGTAGTGGTTAATGATTCATACTCTGAATGGCCTAGGGTTCTCAGTGGTGTACCCCAAAGTTCAGTGTTGGGTCCCTTA